GTCTACATCCAATGTCACCTGCTCTGGCTGCTCGAGGATCTTGAGATCACTGGTGGCTTTTCTGGTCCCTTCAGGTCTTGTGACTCCTTAAGTTAGTGATAGATACCTTCAAATTCAGCTGCACAGGAACTGGTGAGCAGTACCAGGAAAGGTCTTTCCAGCATGGAAAGAGGGAGTCCTTTAAATTAGGACTTTTTCAGTAGCAGTATTCTCCAGAAAGTAGGTCATGAGGGAAGTCAGATGTCAGGGTATATTTTTGTTCAGCACAGACTTCTTAAACTTTTGAGAGATGTTTCTGAAAGTAAAGAACAGGTAACTGGAAATGTTTTCCTAGGTCCCACTGGGCAGTGTGATGATCAGTATGGGGAATGAGGCAGACACAAGGTTCTGCGGGGTGCGATTTCGCAGGGAGCAAGCTTACGTTTTTCAAAAGTTAAGGAAGAACAACCTTAGATTTTTTTGGACTTGTGACGACACGGTCCAGTGAAGTGCCCAAGACTCAAAAAAATTTTCCTAATTGGGTTTTAATGATGCCACTGTTAGTCACTTCTGCTAGTCCTGAAGACTGAGGATGATGTGGGCGATGCCACACAGGAACAACTGCAGCGTTCTTGGGTTGCTTGACCAGGAAAATGAGTTCTGAGGTCACTGTAGAAAAAAAGAAATCCCATGTAGGGATGATGATTTCATGTAAAATTTCTTTGCTACAAAAAGTTGCTTATCAATAAGAAAAAGCTTCTACCCAGTGATAAACATACAGACCATGACCAATACCTCTCTGTTTAACCACTTGTTCTTAACAATTATGCTTAGGTCAGTGATGACAATTTCTCAAGATATTAAACAGCGAACCAAATCTTAAGTTATCTTCCCTGCTGACCAATTTTATAACAGAGATCACAAACTTATTTGATTAGTAAAACCCAGGTAGAATAAAAGTTGTATTTCTGCATTGTAGTAAAGCTGGTAACTCTGAATACATACATATTTTAATTAAACCAACAAACTTAAACTAGCTTTTATTTACTAAATATTTATCCTAAATCACATAAACTTGAAAAACATCTAAGTTTGTATATTTCAGAGAGTTTAGAATACTTAATTTGGTAAGTGCTTATTTTTCTTTAAGCCAATTAAATAGAGCTCACTTACAAACTAATTTTGGAAATACCATCCAGAAGTAGAAAAATATTTCACAATTTACAATATACATACATAAACATACCAACAGATTTCAATTTTTGTTTTAAAATTTTAGCCTTGAGACAAGCACAATCATGCAAAACTTACTAGTTTATAAAAGAACAGATGGACCAAACGGTGTTTCTGGAAGAAATTTGAAGACTGTATTTCTTCATTTAAGCATTAGGTCTCACAGAGCCAAATTATTTGAAATCACAGAGCATGAAAATTTTCTTGAGACTGGCGGGTGATCTAGTGTCAGTCTAACCTGTTTTGTGACCAGCTTGTCCTAGCATGAGTCTTAAAGTTAGTTGGCAAACACTCTTAACAACTTTTAAGTGCTCAATCTGTGCCTATCAGTTTTGCAGCTTTGGCTTCTAAGATCCCATTAACCACAAAACTATTATTCCTTTGCCTCACATTAACAGAAACCAGCAGTAACCAAAAAGATGGTACTGTGAACCAGCCAAGAGAGAAGCCTTAGGTGCGCACCACCCGCAGGAGTTCCCAAAGTGGGACTGGATGGAACATGAAGATCTCAACAAATGGGCACTGGGAACTAATCAAGGGCTAATGAGTGGTGCTCTTAGAGCCTCCTGCCAGTCTAGAAAGCCAGTGAGACTGCTAACAACACAAAGAGAACCAAGCTTGGGACCCAGAGGAACTTAGCCAGGGCCCCCAGAAATAGGGAGAAAATGAATTCAAAAGGTTCACAGAGACCAGTGCCTGTGTTTCTTGTCCATGAAGCTGTGAGATACCTCCTCAGGGTTCCACCACTGCTATCAAACTGTTAAAAAGCAAAACGCAACTGAGCACACTTCCAAGATCTTTCTGGCTTTTGTTCAGTTAAGTTGCACCTTAATTCCTTGAGGAATCAAAAATCTTTACAAAAACAGAAATGCAGCACTCAAAACACTTCGGATCCCACCTATCCTTTCTTGCAATCCAAAACCTCCCCTACACATCTCAAAAGGCTTACAAAGTGTTGTAAAAGATCAGGATTTAGGGAACAGTTTTCCCCCGTGCCTTTGAGATACGAATGTTCTGCCTGGTCTTCTCTAGTTCTCCTCTGGGTTATCTCTTTAAAATGGAAACTTCAGGGAGGTAATTCTTATCAGAAGGAAAAAATTAGAACTTAGGTAAGTGAAAAATCTTAAGTGTCTTCTCCACAAATAGTAATGACAAGTTTTAGCCCTCTGAGCAGGTTACCTTAATTTATTCCAACTTCCAGAAACACAATTTGGAACCAACTCTCCCTCATAAACTAGTGAGCTGTGGCTCACGGCTAAGGACAAAGGTAGAGCCAGGGCTTGCTGCTCTCTTTCCATCTCCACCTCCACCCCTGCTGCTGTAACTGCCTTCTCCCTGCGTAGAGTGAAAGCTGCTTGGCCTTGCTGTGTGGCCCATGCCCATCTTTGAACCAGTGACTGTGGCTCGAGAACTCTAGTTGGCCCACGTGAGACACCTGTCCACCTCTGGTGAGGGTTTGGGTTGACCCTTGGCAGAAAATACCTGTAGGACCACAGGACTCCGCCCCTCCCCCCGCCCCCGACCCCAGGAACAGCCTATATCCACTGTGGGATCCAACCACTTTTTGCCACAAAAAGTGTCCCAGTTCCTCAGGCACAATGGCAGAAGTCTGTTTTGTAGGGCAGATAGGGAGTTTGCAGGATGGATGTAATGCAGGTAGCCATTTACCATGCAAAAACTCTGAGTCTAATAGATATCCAGAGCTAGCATATAATTAAGGAACTTTGTCACTTTGCATCTGAAGCCACATTTAAGCAGCATTCACCAAGGTTCCAGGCATAAGACTCAATGGAGCCCACAATATGCTCACATGCCTCGGGATTTTCTGACTTTAAAAAAAAAATTATTTATTTTTAGACAGAGGGGAAGGAGAGAGGGAAAGAAACATCAATATGTGGTTGCCTCTTGTGCACCCCCCGACCAGGGACCTGGCCTGCAACCCAGGCACGTGCCCTGACTGGGAATTGAACTGGTGACCTTTTGGTTTGCAGGCCAGCGCTCAATCCACTGAGCCACACCAGCCAGGGCTCTTTTTTTTTTTTTTAAGCCAGATGAGAAACATTTATAAAATCCAGAATGCCTTCATCCAATTATTCCTAGAGAAGGGACCAAATCAAACAGAGAAGTGGGACGACTGAATCACTTTCAATCATAAACTGGTTCATGAGGCCGTGTTTAAGATGCTCTTTAAACCTGCTTTTCTTTGAGCCACACTGGGGACTCTTCCTGTCACCCATCCCAACCATAACCCTAGTATAGGTACAGGGAGATAGGTCAGCAGGGAAGAGAATCTTCTGAATATTTTACGGAAAGTCCCTGTGGGGTTTTCCAAATAGATCTTTCTGCCCCCTAATTGGCATATGCCCTGGGGAGGTCAAACTTGAAAATCCAGCCTTTACAACACACAGATCTGCTAACTCACAGTCACAGTCCAATGTCATTCACAGGAACGTCACTTCAAAAACTGAAGGCTGGGTTAAAGGCCTAGAGGTTTCATCCCTTCAGGAATTGGCACAAATGAAAATACACTACTAGTTAGAGCAAAAAACACAAGAATGAGCACACAACTCACTGCAGACCACACTGCAACTGTAGAAACGGGGTGCCCATGCTGGGGGGGGGGCACCACCAGGGACTCTGGCAGCAGCGGGGCTGGAGGAGAGAATGTGGGACTCCCGTCTCCTCAGGCCCTACAGGCTGCTGCCTGCTGAATAGCCAGCCTCGAGGGCAAATTCCAGCCTGTATCTTGCCCTGAAAGAGCTGGCCCCCAGAGAGGGGCTATTTTTCCTGAAAGTGATTCCTAGTGATGATTATGGCTTTAACACATATCTTTGTGATCTTTTCTTAATGTGTAAAAATTCCTTCTACTCAACCTACATAGTGATGCCTACCTTTTTAAAACTATGTATTTTAAGATTTTACTGGGAGGTGGGAGGTGCAGCGCTGGGAGGGTGAAAGAAAGGGAGGAGAACCGTCAATCTCGCACTTGTCCCGGCTGGGGACCAAACCGGCAACTCGGGCATCTGCCCTGAACAGGAACTGAAGCGATGGCCTCTTGCATTGCAAAATGATGCCTAACCAACTGAGCCACACCAGCCAAGGCAACACTTTTTAAAGTCTTTTGTTTTCCATATACTTTCTTGTGTATTTTCAATACGTTTTTGTTTTTTTTTTATAATCACAACACCTACTATTTAAAATGACATTGATTCAAAGTTTTTAAAAACTGAATTCAAAATATGACTTCAGTTTCACTATGGGGAAACCTGACATTTCCAATGTGCTTCTAGGACATAATAAAAATCTGGTGAAATCCGGTCAGCTCCTGGGTGCCAGGGAGGACAACCCAAAGCAACTGTTTCATGGAAGAGGAATCCTGAGGAATCCAGCCTGAGAGGTTCTGTGCCACTGAGGCACAGGGGAGCTTTGCAAGCTCCCCACAGTCCAACACACCTCAGGTCACTTAAACCAGCACCTCCGGAGTGCGGCCCACACCTGAGCACTTCAGAGTTCCCAAGTGATCCCAGTACGCAGCCCAGCCACATAAGCGAGCATTCGCTCCACTTCCCTCCTTCCAGAGATGGCAAGGGTTAGGCCCCTTTTACGTGGACTGTCTCAGTCCGTGAAAGCCTTCGACCTACTCAGCGCTGCATCAGACCTAGTTCCTTGCGGCCAGGGAAGACTGCTGATCAGTATGAAACCCTGCATAAATAAGCATGCACTTCAGAATGCAGGCAGGTAAATGCCATTCCCCCACTAACTGTCTTCTCTCCTTGGACTCCCCGCAGGAGCTACAATGATAGCTGTTTCCTGGATTCCTCCCTCTATCCAGAACTAGCCGACGTCCAGTGGTGCGGGCAGGAGAAAGCCAAGCCCGGGACCCTCGTGTGAGCCAGCGGCCTCAACCTGACCGCACCGACGCCATTCTGAGACCACCTCACTGCCTCCCATTTGCCTTACCCAGAAGCACTGTCACCCTGCACCAGCTTCAACCCGCAGCACTTTTGTTCTCCTGTCTCCGCATCCCCTCACACTCAAAATCCTGACTGAGGAGACATTCTGGAAGGTTCCGGTCCCACTGTGTGTCCCCTGGCTCGCTTGCCTACAGAGAGCCAGGCACCTATCCTCAATGGCACCTTGGTGGCTTCCCCCTGCCACGACAGCCCCCGGACCAGGAACCATCAGGGAGGCTGGCTGGCATCATATTCCTGTGGACAAGTGGCATGTATAGAGGACAGGAAAGGAAACTTACATACAGGGTGACCCAGAAAGACTAAGTTGTGGCCAGCCTGCTGCCTGGAGGCCAACCAAGCACTTCAAGAAGAGGATGCCTGGTGGGGGTGTCTAGTTCACAGCTGACATATTCCTTGGGGGGAGGGGGAGGTAATGAAAAATGAAGCTTAACATGTCAGAGATACATCAGAGGATCACAATCAGTTCTATGCTGCCAAAGATTTTAAAAAATTAATAAATAAAAACAAAAAAAAAAAAGAGGGGCCAAGAAGAAGACATTCTTTGTGCAATGAAACACCCTTCAAATTCTAAACTGCTACAACACACACGTCCAAGTCAACCATTTGTAAATTGTTGCCCCTCTTTACCCTCTCCCTTCATGTTCACCTTCTCTGTCGGTGGAGAGCCTGAGAAACTGAGCTGATGTGCTGGTGAAGCCGGCGGGGCCTTGGCTGGCATGGCTGACTCGGAGCTCCCTGAATCCGGACGTGGAGCGGAGCAGACCTATGGGGAGCAGCGGAGCGTACTGTTAGCCCTGTCTGTACCCAGGACTCAAAGCCGCTTTCCTCTCGGGGTCTGTAGGAAACATAAGGTGGTGATGCCAAAAGTGGTTCTCTCAGTAAAACAACCAGTAAAACTGCATCCTGTTTTTTCGCACAAGGTGTTTCATTTTACTTTTTATGGGAAACCAAGGGAAAAGCACATTGCAATTCATTCAAATGTTTTAACTGTTGTGGCTCATTTTATGTTTGTTAGCACTTGTGTGACAAAGAGCTCAGATCCGACTTTGGTTACCAACGTGTCACTTAATCAAAAAAACCCAACTATGCCCTTAGGTAGAAAGATTTTATTCATGTGTCTACTAGGCAAAGCAGGGTCGAAAAAAAAATACCAGCTCCCAGGGGGCCCATATACTTAACAACAGCGTCAGCCACCTTGATGTACCACATTTGTCTGCAGGTACCAAAAGGAGCAGAAGTAAGGTGGAGGAGCTACACGTTTACATGTGTTTAAGCGATGCTTAATACACAACTGGAAAGCCATCAATCTTCAAAGGCCTCAGAACTACTTTTATAATAATAACAAGTGCACACTCTTAGTTGGGTTATTCCAAATGGCACAAACACGGTCTCCACAGAGGTGGTATGCTGTGCTTATTGGCGCAAGTGGGGAGGGGTGGGGGGATATTTTCTCTCATTTGTAATGACTTCCTATGGGAAAAAAGCATTGGACAGCCAGAGACAGGAGCCGGGGTAGGGGTAGTTTTGTGGGAAAGCAGTATTGAAGTTAGCTTTAGTGTGAAAGGGAAAATCTTTGTTCTTTAAGTATGTGTAATCCAAGAATAACTAATAGACTCCACCAGACCAGGAGGGTATGGATGGACATTCATCAAAATAACTAATGCTGGTGCGCCCTCTGCTGCAGCTGGCCAAAGTGCGTGGACCCGGAGCAGGCCAGTAACCGTCTGGACGATTCAGGACCCGGTCTGTAAGGCTCCGCACAAGGCTGGGTTGGTAATACCAGCTTGTGGGAGGGATGCATATTCTAGGACACTTTAGGGGTGAACCCTGAAGGATAAATAAAACTGGTTTTAAAGTTACTGAATGGTTCTGGGGATTGATGGGGGAGGGGGGTGCTATGTTTTTGTTGCTCTTATTTTATGGTAAAAGTACCCACAGCAGGTTTTTTCCCTTCCCAGTTTGGAAACATTATACGTCAGGTCATTTTTCTTTCTCCCAAAAGCTGGTATGTGGATAATCAAACTGAACTATGTGCCAACAGGAAAAGTCAAAAGGGAAAGGTTACACAAGGCAAGGGGACAAGGTTAGTAGTTGGACATCAAGTCTGAAGTCAATCAGGTCAAGCTTTTAGCCCAACTGGGTTACAAGGAATGAGAGAGGAAAATTCTTTTTAAACACCTGGGTTCCGGGTCCTGGGTTCCGGAAGCAGAAATGAATGGAGTGGGAGGGGGATTACGGTTCAGACAAACATCACAATAGTCTGGTAGTAAAGACGGAGATTAAGTAAAACAGGTTTTACTGTTTAGCTGCGTTCAGTTACTGCAAAGTGTACATAAAGTATTAGTCCTTGGAGACTAATGTGATTAATGAATGAGCAATGTGGTGGGAAACAATACAGTTATTGTACACAGGCACTTGCAAGCTCTTTATAGATCCCTGTTTCTTTAAAATAAAACAAGAAGAACCATAAAGCCCCTGGTCTGATATAAAGTCCCTATTGGATTCTGTGGATACATGTAAAAAATGGCCTGTTTAGCCAGAAGACTGGTGAAAACACATCAGACTTTGTTGTTAGACAGGTGGGGTTTTTTATTTTATTATATGGAGGCGAGTGTTGGAGAAGTTAAAATTCCAATTTGTTCTCATTCAGTATTAGTTTAGTTCTAAATATAGCAAACCCCATCCTGGTGCTATCAGATGACCAGTTACTGCTTAGTTAACTAGGTGTAAAGTTTTTCATACACATTAATGTCAACAATTTATAACAAGTTGTGTAAAATAGACTCTAGTTTAATAATGGGGAAAAATGGATTAGGTTGCTCCTGAAACTGACTGTAGAGCATGTAAAATGATTTTACTGGATTCTGTTCAACTGTAATCAATGAAAAGATGTATGTTGTAGACAAAGTGGCAGAATTAAAAAGAAATCTGCTTTTAATTTATTCTTTTTGTATTAAGAATTTGTATAGTACCTTTACATTTTGCAAAACAGTGTTGTCAACACTTATTAAAGCATTTTCAAAATGGAGAGGTCTCAGTTGCTTCTTGGAGGTTTTGTTTCTAAGTGGTAAGTGCTTACACACACTCTGGAAGTCTCTTAACTCGGGTGCTTGTGTCCTCGCCAGTCTCATTTTTAAAGTAAACCTAGAAGTGCTGTTTTTTTCATTAAATTTTTGAATTGTATTTTTTAATTATAACTTGCATGCAACATTATTTCGTATTAGTTCAGGTGTACAGCAAAGCAGTTAGACAGTCATATACTTTACAGAGCGGTCCCCTCGATGTGTCAGGCATCCACAGTATGGTGGGCTCCATTCCCTGGGCTTCACAGCCCTGTGACTGTTTAGTAATTACCAACCGGTACATTTAATCCCTTCTGTTTTTCTTCGCTTAGCCCCTCAACTGTCCTCCCCTCTGGCACCCATCAGTCTGTTCTCTGTATCTAGAAGTCTCTTTCTATTTTGTTTGTTTATTTTGTTCTTAGATTCCACATGTGAGTGAGTGAAATCATATGGTGTTTGACTTCTTTCACTTAGGATAGTACTCTCTAGGTCCATCCATGCTGTTGCAAATGGTAAGATTTTATTCTTTTTTATAGCTAAATAGTATTACATTATACGTATGTACCACAGCTTTTATACCACTTGTGTATTGTGCAGATGCTATTCTTACTGCCTTGTCTGATGTTGTAGACAAAAAGCTCGGTTTGTTTAGTAGATGCTAATTCTTACTCTATTTTTCTTTTGTTACTTAGATGAAGAAAATACATTCTCATTGATACCTATCTCCTACTCCGTACAAGGATGGGAGATTAGATATCAGGTCCTTTTCAGGATGCTATCTTAGTATTTGTATCGCTGTTCATTACCAATAGTTACCCACGTGTGCCAGGCATGGGCACTGTTCCCACAGAACAGCCCCGGGGAAGAGACACTGAGGGGCCCTGGGCTCTGGAGGTCAGCCTTAGTCTGTCTCCCTGTGGTCCCTGGTTCTGTGTGGGATGCACAGGGCCAATCAGGGAGACAGGCAGGATGCTCAGGCTCTTTCCCTCCACTGCTGTTCACCCCTGTGCTCAAACCACAGCTCGAACTCTGTCTCTGGGCCAGCAGGTATGAAAAGGCCCATGTTATGGGCAAAAAGGTAACTGGCTGACTTCAGGAGAGACTTCGCTGCAATTGAACCCCTACCCCTCAACCTAAGCCGACGTACATCTCTTTGCTAGAATCTCACAGCCAAGAACATCCCTGGATGAAAAGCCCTCCCCAGATGGAAAGCCCTTGCTTCTGCCACCAGGGCAGGCTAACTAACACCTGCCAAAAACAAGAGCAATCCACTGAGAACGCAAAGCATGTCTGGAAGCGAGCCCATTAAGACAACATTTTATATTTCCTAAAGCCTCTTTTTGGGAAAGCAACCAGGGCCCCTGTATCTCAAGATAATCTACACTCATTTCAAACAAACAGGGATCTTCCGCAAGTCTTTCACATGTAAATATGTCACAGCTCAGGATAGAAATCTAGCAACACTCATTAAGCTCTATCACATGAAAGCAACTCACACAGAGCAAGATGGGACTTTCCATTTCTTCCCCACCCCTTCCTACCTTTCACCACACGCGGCTCCCCACCCCCACCCCCACCCCCTAACAAACTGCCAACAAGGCAATTCCAAACAGTTCTCTTGGTTATTAGAGAACACAAAAGGAAACTCCACAGCCCAGAAAAAAGCATGAGATATTGCCAGGCCTTTCCTTTCTCCCACAACACCACTTAACGAAAGCTCAAACAAAATTCTCTCTAAAAAGAGGTGTGTCACAGATGAGGGCTAGCAAGCAGGCATTGGCCCATAGTTGAAGTCACTCATTGCATGTTCTGTGCTGTGTCCAGGTCTTCAAAAGCTGCTGGTCTGAACAATTAGACAAGCAGGCACATGGCCACAACATAGGGGGCAATCAGGTTATAAACATTAAACAGAAGAGATTAAAATGAGTCCCAAGGATAAGAGATCAACAAGTGTGTAAACAGTGTCTCTCACTGATCCCTCATTCAAGGAGGTGGCTGGTCAAAGAGATGGCCGAGAAAAGCCACAGGAACCTACAGAGCTGTAGCCTCTTTGGCCTGGGACAAGGCCATGCTCCCAGCAGAGTCAATATCTATTCAGGAAAGAGCTGAAGGGCCTGGATTGCAATTCAGGAGCATGAACAGTAAGCAGATTATTTAATACAGCTCACTCGTTTATAATTGCCCCCAAGATTTTTTTTTAAAATCAAACCTTTTTCCTCTCCATAAATCCCATCAAACTATAATTATCCTTTTAATTTAGTCATCGACTTTCTACCCAACTCACTCCAATCATGTTTTCATTCCCCTCATTCTACCAAAACCACTCTTGTCGAAGTCAAGGATGACTCCCCATGCCAAAAAACACCTGTTTTCATTTTATGTGACTTATCAGTTGAGCCCTCTTGCGCACAGCCTATCCCTCTTCAAGTTTCCTTCATTGTAACATTTTCTTCCCTTGGACCCCAGGTTTTCTTCAAGTACAGGACTCCTTTCCAATCCCCTTGGTAGTTTTTCTTCATCTCTCTGACTTCTTAGCAGCAGAGTGACCCAGGGCTCAGTTCTTGGGCTTCTTCTCTTCTTTATAATCACTCTTCTTGTAGATCTCATCTCTTCTCAGGGTTTTAGAGATCACCTCTATGCTGACGGCAGCTGACTTATCCCTACACCCGGGACCTCCTCCCTGAAATGTGTTCTTCCTACTGCCTTCTCAACATCTGCACAGAGCTGTCTAACATGCTAACGTGTCCAGAACTGGATCTGACCCTCCCCTCCACAGCTGCTGTATTAATGATCTTCCTCGGCTCAGTTATGGGCAATTCCAGCCTTCCAGTGCCTGGGCCAAAAAACTCTTGGATTCATTGCTTTCTTTCTCTCATACCTCATGTCTGCAGTGAAACAAACAAATGTAAAATCCCTGCATTTAAGAGATTTATACAATATTTGTGGGTGGAGGGCAGGAGAAAGGAAAAAGTAAATTATGTAAGATAGTTGATGGTGATAAGAAAGCAGGGACCCGTGGAAGATTTAGCCTCTGACAAGAAGGAGAAACACCTTTTCCTCCAAGTCAGGTAAGAAAAGCTGCTGGCAGGTGTGGAAGTGGAGAAAGGCCTTAAGCTTGTTCTACATTCAACCTGCTGTGAGAAGAGATAGGTGAGATCACTCTTCAGGGGGTCAAGAAGCAGCAGAGTAGGGCCAGGATAAAGCAGAGTCACAAGGATCAGAACATAAAATAGCCTGAGAGGAAAGGAGGACAAAGAATGTCCTCCAGGCATCACTTAGGGCCCAGCTGCCACTGGACACTTGGTAGCTGTGATTCCCTCCTGGCACTTCCTAGCCATGGCATGGGAGACCGATGGAATGACACAGACAAGTTTTATAGTGTGGCCTGACAGAAGGACAGAAAGTCCTGGTGAGAAAGTGGCTGAAAAGATGGCAACGATTTCTAGATGGACTAGGCAGGAAGTAAGGCCAGGAAGATGCTGATAAAGCACCAAACAGGATGCCTTGAAGAGGCTAAGAAACAGCAGAATGGAAATGAAAGAGGGAGGGAGCAAGGGTAGGACTTCATGACCAGAGTCGTTTTCCCATAACCTTGGCTATCCCCGTGTGGCATGAACCACACAATCTAAAAACTGAAACATGGAAAAGTCCCTTTGTCATGCTGACACATGCTAGTGAATGTCAACCGGAGCTTGGAGTTGCTGGGACAAGCACCTGGGTCTCATTCCCTTCGGGCAGGAGCTGCAAATCTGGCTGCCCATTTTATCAGGAGACCAAACCCACACCAATTATTTTAACAGAGATTTCATAAAAACAATTGTTAACCAGATTGTAAAGTGACAGATCAAAAGAAGGACAGTGAGATGTCACAGAGATGATAACACAGGAAGCAGCTACTGCTCTTTGGAATGGGAAACAAAGACAAGGAATTATTAGGACATAGAAGCTTATAGGTAGCAGCCTGTGGAGCTAGGAGTCAGACCTGAGGAGCGGACAGCACCCTGCTGGCACCCTGCCCTGCGCCCTCAGCAGGGCCCTCGGGCCAGGTTCACACCTCCATGGCGGGGGAGGGGCGCTGACAGTGCTGTGATCTTTGAGTGTGATGACAAATTTGTAAAAGTGCGAAAAAACTGGGAAGTGGCACCACTATTAGGGACAGGAAGCTAACAGAAAGGTTTGCTTCCAGCGTTCTCTTCCAACAAAATATTTTAAAATCTATTTTCCTAAAAATTCTTCCCCCCCAAAATTTTTTTTTTGCTTAGTAAGTTTGAAAGTCTTTAATTTGCAAGGTCATGCACTTTTCCCCTGTGTGTTTGTTGTTAAATACAGGCACTATTTGATACATTAATCTCAGCCATTGTTTCAAGTTCACAAGAATCATTTAAAGTGATATTTAATGACATGCCTAGGACTTTAGACAATATTATTGCTACCATGGAATGGAGACACTAGGTCCTAAGGATTTAACTAGATGCTGTTTACTGAAACTGAACTTCATCAAATCCTTCCCCATTCCACTGTGGTCTCCCATATTTCATTATATCGCTCATTGTTATTGCCAAACCTTGTATCTTTTAAACTATTAAATTAAGAACTAATCTTCCCTGATTTTTGAGGTGACCTTTCTCTTCTGCTATCCCTTTAATAAAGGGAAACACTCCCTCTGGTCCTTTTAGCACCCTGTGTGATTAAAGGGTTTCTAAATGTTCACACTTTTTGAAATATGTCATTTTCTTAATATTTTTTCTTTACCCTTCTCCAAAAAGTTGTTGCTATTTCTTTTAATTATTTGGGAGAAATGATCAGCCTCCTCTTCTGCTTTTGTGACATACCTATTTATAGTAGAGCTCCTTGGTTTTTGCTCAAATTTCTTTTCAATCTACCCACCTTTTTGTTAGATATTTTGAGCTTTTAAGTGCAGACGTCTGTACACATTATCCCCTCTTTCCCAGAGTAGCTTTCCAAAAAGAAGACTGTTAAAATAGAGAAAAATGGAGGTCACCAGACGAGCTCTTCCTACATCTCTCCTCTACCAAAAACATCTCTATAGGGACACAGGTCCTTTCTGCCACCTTGCTCTCCCATCTTCCTGACGCTAATCATCCCTGCTCTGGACTGCACCCACCGCTGCCTTCTCGGGGGCCTTGCTCTGGCATTCTCCCTTCTCCTCTACCTTCATCCTTTTTTTATTCTTCCATTACCTCTTACCCTTTCACATATAAATATACTCACATTTTTTTCATCTTAAAATAAAGACGAAATAAAGCAGTGTCTCTCCCGCTAACTACTACCACAGCTCTCTCCTCAGCCAAATGTCTGGGACGGGAAGCCCTCGGTGGCTGCCTTCACTTTCTCACGTCCTACTCCCTTCTTCACTCGCTGCCTGCCATGCTGCAGGCGCGCATGTCCAGTCACCCAGTTGCCATAACCGATGGCATTTGCAGCTCTCCTGCCCTCCCAACATTTAACTGTGTTTAGGGAATGACACTGGAGCGCCCATCCGCCTGGCACTGGGGTAGGTGCTGCTGTAACAGAAATGGAAGGCAGATGTGATCCCCACCCTTATGGTGCTCAATGGGCCAGGCGTTCCTGAAAACACTCAGGTTTATTTACTTCCGCTGCTCACCTTTGCAAGCTTCACTTAAATGCTACCTAAATCTCCCTGTTCTCTAAGTCTCCTTTAAAAAAAAACACAACAAAAACAACTTTTCAAATAATCACTTCTATACTCATGGCTTCAACTACTTTTATATACTCTAATGACAATATAATTTTAAATGTTTTCATTTCATTAAATGTTTTATTTATAGTGGATGCCTCATTTACTAAAACCATAGATTCCAAGTTGCTCTGTAAAAGCAGTCACAAAAAAATATGATATTCTTAGCAGGTCAACTTTAAGAAATTTCCCTAAAAACTTTTTATTGGTCTGATGTGAAGAGAAGGATTTAGGCTGGGAAAAGGCATGAAGGAAATTTCTAGGGTGCTGCTAGAAATGTTCTATATTCAGATCTTGTTTTACATCTTGATACATACTACATATATCAAGAATCATTGAGCTTAACAATTAAGATTAGTGCACTTCATACACTACCCTATTTGTTGAGGATTGCTCCATCTCAGAAACAAACAAAAAAAACCCACAAAACTACCCCATTAAGTGACTTTTAGAATTACCTCCACAATGAATTTCATAATGAAGAAAAGCTCTAGGTTTATACATTTATCAGCGGCTCACAGACCACTGGCCTCTTTTCTAAATGAGGTTTTACTGGAACAGCCGCAGGCAGCGTCCGCTCCACAGCTGCGGGGGTGAGTGGTTGAGACAGAGGCCTATGAGCCTTTAACAAGATGCTTGCCAAACTCCGACTTAAACTTCAAATAATATATTTAAACTGTTCCCTTTTTAGGATAATTCAAATCAACCTCACCTAAACACTAAACTAACATGTAGAGATATAGGGCAGTTTAGAAAATTACTCAAATGTAACCAAGAATTTCATAAAACTCTCACATAAGGGTGGCAGCATTTTTTTTGCCCTAGGCTGCATTATGGGCTTAATGACACGGATCACAAATTGGAATTTTATTTGGCCTTACACAATGCTAATTTTTAAAAACTTGGTGCTGGAATTTTAAAAACAGGATTTTGCACTTAAAAAACAAAGAATCCGGATCTTGACTGCTCATACAAAAATGGAAGGTGGGGCAACACTGGAACCATATTCCTATAAGGTAACAATGAGCTGCAGGGACTCCAACACTGAGCCTAAGCGCCGGCCTCCACTTCACTCTGTGCTTGCACTGCCCACTTTTCTTACAGCAGAGCTGAGAGGAAATGAAATACCGCTGCTATTGGTGCCTGCATGAAAAGCAGGAAAACAAGACAGACAGGGGCCAGGCGTTCCTAAACACTCAGCTCGCTTGTTACCTGACTGTCCAAGGCATGCAAGTGTACAACTTTAGGCTTAAGCAATGGCGTAGAGGAAAATGGCAGAAAAGAACCACAGCCATCTAAGGGCCAGAAGGACCCGAAAGGGCAACAGGCAGCTCAATGCTTGCAAAACATGAAGTGGGAGGGACCTCCCCGATATCATCTGAAGTGTCCCTATTCCTACCTCAGGTAATTCTGCCAGGTAAAGAAATTGTTCATACTATTTTTTCAACCTCTCTGAATCTATATTTATTTCAAAATTAAATGTTAAATAAAAGCATTTCCTTACACTGATTAGAAATCTGCAGTCCTTCCTGTACCTTAATCAGTCTGTAGCCACATAGGGTATGACAAGTATAATCCCTCTTCCACCAGAAAGCTCTCTCATTTTTTGTAACTCTCTTGCCCAGATCCCCACCAAGAGTCTCCTTTCTCAAGGACTCTTTTGTCCTATAGAGCATGGGTCCCAGCCTCTGACTGCAGGACTGGTACTGGTACAGGCCTTTTAGGAACCAGGCCACGTAGCAGGAGGCGACCTTGAATACAATGCACTTGAATCATCCTGAAACCATTCCCCCAACCCCAGTCCATGGAAAAACTGTCTTCCATGAAACCGGTCCTGGTGCCAAAAAGACTGGGAACTGCTGCTATAGAGATAGGGTATCCATTCAATCAGCAGATATTCACTGAGCAACCACCGGAAGTGTAACACGTTAGTTCTAGACTCTGAGGATAGAACAGTGAACTATGTTCTTGCCCTGTGGAACCAATACTAAATTATTACATCTAATAATGTAGCATCAGCTATCCTTAGACTTTCCAGTGGCCATATATTGCTAATATTATTACAGTTATAGTCCACTAAAGTCCCATATTTTTCTTCTTATACATTGCTCAGATGTATGCTCAAACAACTAGGTTACTGGATCCAAATTTCTTTATTTGCTAAATGTTTTATTTTTAGAACCTGCCCTTTTCTTCAGTCTGTCAAGAACTTCTAGTATATCAGTTTCTTTTCTACCTCTTAGCACTCACCCTATACTTTCTAGTATCTTGTTGTCTATAAATCTGATAACTATACCTCTCTGTATAATCATCTGCATCGGTCATTGAAATACTGACCAGGACAGTACTCTGATCACTAAGGACCTACGGCATATGTTACTAGCATGCACCAAAGTAGACATGGATTTGTTACTCAGCATTCCATGGCTTCCCTCACTCAACAAGCTGTGAGTCACCTGACAATACTGTCATTATATCTGTCCATGAAGACATTATTTGGTTTAGGCCTAACACCTTCCCAAAGTTCTGTTATGGAAAAAAAATTTTGTTTTTTTAACATGGACATTTCCTATTCACCATGTAAAGGCAACAGTGTGGAAATTGCCAAGGGAGTGAGAGAGAGAGAGAGAGAGAGAGAGAGAAGGCTGGGGGGACGGTGCAAAAATTAGGACAACTGTAACAGCACAAACAATAAAATATTAAATTCTTTTTAAATGAAAGGATAACAGTTAAAAGGATGAACAACCGAAGGAGAGTAAGTCACTGTAGCTTCCAGTATAAACCAGAAAGCTTTAAAAAATAAATACTAGGTATATTTTTAAAAAGAAAATCAGTTTATGAGGAAGTACCATCATTAAAAAAGGAAATGCTTTTTAGTTAAGATAATTTATATAATTATATGAACTTTTCTATGCACTATACTTTGATCAGGGTATTGCTGAACACTAACAAATTTAATCATTGGAAATTGTTTTCTATTGTTAAAGCCAAATAACTTTTCTTTCCCAACTAAAAGATTTTTGCCTTCAATACATTCACTGGTGATTATTTTAAAAAATGGAAATGTTCTAAAATTCCCATAACTATATTAGAGCTCTATAAATTCTACCATTTATACAGAAAACCAGGTTAAAATCATTTTTTAAAATGCTAATATATGTGAATAAAGTATAAAGCATAACATAAATTAATATTCAGCATTTGGAATGGAAATACAAACAAAAAGATAATTCATGAATATGGTAATGATTGTTCTCTGGCACAAAATCTGAAAGCACTTTGTGCATTTTAAGCGAATTTTCAATTTTAAGTAAACTTCCAGAGTATCATCTTCCAGCTTTAGAATGAACATTCAGCAAAAGTCAATATACAGGCACAGCCTGGGATTCTTGACAATTTGGCAAAAGCAAAGAATGCAGTTGATTTTCTTTTTTCTCACTAAGCAGAAAAATTTAATCAGTAACAAGTGTACACAAGTTTATGTGAGGTATGTATAATACAACTAAGGAAATAAACTAAAAACACTTCAGACTATTTGTGTAGAGAAGTGTTGTTTTACACTACTTAAAAATTATATTCATTAAAACCAAATCTTTACTAATTCATATCTTTTATGCTAGTAAATGTTAAATCTACCTAGAAAATAACAAAATGAGATTTACTGTAAAACACTCTAAATTTGCTGCTCTTCACTAAACTCCCAAAGCAAACTGCAATAGTCTTATTTCAATGCTGAGGTAAACGGAAAGCACAACCCTTCACTCTGTCTTGCAACATATATAAAGCTCAAAAGGTTTTATGAAGGTGGACCCCCCAAAAATGGGAATTATCTCCTGGAGGGCAGGCCCCTATAGTATAGGCTTCCCCCGCTAAGTGAGTGTTCTAGGAACCCATCTGTATCAGTGCACCAGCTGGTGTTGTTAGGAGAGGCTGCATTCAGCCTCAGTGAATTTTTTCTTAAGATTTTTTCAACATGTTTGCCCATTTTATGATGGGTGATTTACGAGCACACCTGCCCGCAGCATGCTAAGTGTTCAGCATTTTCTGACCAAACATGGAATGACCCCTGTGCCCCACTCTCTATTCACCTGATCTCACTCCAGGCGACTTCTTTTTTGTTTCCCCAATGAAAAAAGGCCTCAAAGGGAAACATTTTACTGACGCGGAAGAGGCAAAACAAACAAAAAAAATGGCAGAAGCACTAAAAGGCATGAAAATCAATGAGTTCAAAAGCAGTTTTGAGCAATGCAAAAAAACAGTTCAACAGGTGTATTGCATCAAATGGAGAGTAGTTTGAAGGTGGCTTAAATTTAAACATGTAAGAATAAATACATATTCTTTTTAAATAAATTCTGGAGTTTTTTTTGGTCCCCCCCTTGTATTTTACTCAGTGAAGACGTCTTAACACAAGTATTTATAAGAAGTGGACTTATATCCTATGATGCTATGTTGTATTTGCCACAGTTCTTTTGCTCTCAAAATAGAGTTTTGGAACAGGAGAGCGTTAACCTCCAGAGAAATGTCTTTCCCTCCAAAATGCTTCTCTGAATGTATTTCCTCTGTGTTTCATCATTTAAAACATGTGCAACATGCTTGGAAAACATCTTTTCCCTACCAGCTCTGGCATGGATACCAACCATCATGACATCAGGGGTCAAGGGGCATTTCCATGAGCCATCTGAAGATAAAAACCATTAGCCGAAAAAGAAAGATTAAGAAGAGATCAGAAGAGCAGAAATATTGCGTTGGTCCAAATTCTTAATTCAAGTATTTCACAGCTCTTTATGATATAATTTTCATTCCCCTTATTCAAACAAAAGAAATTAAAATATGGGATGACTGACTGTCCTGCACAGGACCACACTGTCCATGGAAAAACAAATCAAAGCTCACCTTGTGAGTGAAAGACAAACATTGCTCTGCAGCCTTTGTGCACTAAAAATTAATGCACTTTGATCTGGAAATACCAGGCAGGGAATTTGATGCACTGCCAGAAAGCTCTAGTTCGGCTCCCCTTTCTACCCAGCCGTCTCCACAGGTGGTCACGCAGAAGACAGAAGCTGACTAGTTCCTCACCATCCAACCTGAAACGCTGTCCACTCCCTGCACAGCAGCCAGGCCTCTGGCAGCAGCGGGGGCTCCGCACGCCGGGGCTACGAATGGAGGGCCCACGCAGAGGTGGAAACAGAATAAATGCTGGCTCTTGAATCAGCTCAAGGACAGGATCCGTTCACCGTGGCCCCCAAACCTCCCACCTGCCTGGAACCTTAAAATAAAAGCTACAAAACGTAGAGACAGAAACCAATACAGGCCAATGGCTCTTTTCCTAAACCAAGCCTGGAAACTTGTGAAGAAGGAAGAGAAAGAAAACCAAAAGAGAGAGCAAGGAAATTCTAAAAGACCCTGAGGGTTTCAGAGAAGCCTATACAGCTAGGCCTCAAAGAGATTTTAATTAAAAAAAAAAAAAAAAAAAAAAAAATCAAACACTAGAAATAGCTCTACTTAATTTTTTAAAGCTTCATTTCTAAAGGGCACATACACATTTTTATCACTGATTCCCATGTGTGTAAATTTTAACACTGGATATTAATTGAGAAAATTCCCAATATTTAGTTCACCTAAATTTCCAAATAACACTGTCCAAATAGATTATTAAGGTTTCTTGGTTCTTTGTGCAGTTTATACAACATAAACTTTCACCTGAATCTCATATACGAGAATGAAAAATGTAACAAGAGGAAAGGCAAGTGATCTGAGTTCTATTGCAGTGACGGTGGCCTTAACCATCCGTTCCAGCGCTGTCCTTGGTAAGCAGCATGCAACTAACAGAAACCATTCCAGAATAAAATTTATAGCCATAAAACCAAACCTTTTTGGGGGATAAAACTCACTAGCTCCCATATAGAGGGAGCAAAAACAACACTCTAGCCTCATCCGCAGGAGGCTCTGATGAAGGAGACCACCCAGGCACCCAGGAGGGCCTGCCGTCCCTCTGAGCACAGACACGCAGAGCCCGGAAGAAGCCATGCCGCCCCCACCTTTCGGTCAGAGCCTGCCTCCTGTTCTGGACCTGCTGCCCCTGAACTGCTGCACCGAAATTCTCCACGGCTGCCCTCTGGGGGGCACGGCCACCGGAAGGCCCGGTCCTCCCCCTCGGCGTACGGCCCACCAAGGAGTGTCCCATTTCCCATGCCCACCCCTGGGGCACCAGGCCCTCCTCTTCTTGTTCCGCTCCACCAACTGACAGCCCTTCCGTCGCCCCTTTCTGAACTCTACCCCAGCAGCGCTTGGACACCAGAGCTCTTTCCCCATGACCCCTCCTCCCAGGGCCCATTCAGGAAGGAGCAAGGGGAAAGGGTCCCCCAACCAGGGGTCGGTCACGGCTGCGGTCCTGAAGTGGGACAGATGGACGCTGGCAGGCTGACATGGAACTTATTCTAATAGAAACAAGTGTAAAGGGCAGTCAAATCCCACTGTATAATTAGTACAACTGTTCAGCTATATTATGAGTAGTAGGTATTTATAGCTACATAACATTTTTTCTGCAGGTTTAAAATTTGTTCCAAGCTGTAAGCAACAATCTAAAAATTTTGATTCAGCCCCACTCATGAAATGAACATTGCCTATATCCATCCAGTTCATGACCTGAAGAATCTTTTCACCTACCTTAAAAATGACTAAAAAACACAGGGTGGTTTGAACGTTTTAATACTGAATGCTGTCAATACATAAATAAAAGGGTTTTTTTGTTTGTTTTGTTTTGTTTACTGCTAATTCATTTCACATTTATTCTTAAATCTCCTATGTAAAACACTTCACACTAAACGAACATATTATGCACACAACCTAAATAAGCTCATAACCATAATTCCAATGGACAGCACGGTAACGTAGCTTCACATATTGTCTTTGCAACATGAATTTAGTAATATGTATTATGGGCTCTTTAATAGCAGCAGGAAGATTCTGGAAAAGAAAAAGCTCAACTAATTTTGGAAGCTACTGTGTGTAGTTACTATAGTAATTTATTCTGACTTTATACATTGTATTTTTTCAAAATCAGTTAACAAAAGAATTTTTTGAGAAACCTCACCCTTTTCGACAGCTTTCTGAAAAGGGGTCTGAGGGAGGACTCGGCCTGTCTCCGAGCGTGAGCCCCGCTCAGTTTGCCCTGCCCACTGCCCTTTTCACAGGGTCTTCCCTGGCGTTCAGTTCTTCAGCCCAAAGGCCAGGAAGGAACTGGTGAAAGAACGGGTAAATTTAGACTGCAGTGCCGCCCAGTGGCTGAACAAACTTAAAAGCTCGCTAACACACCAAACAGTGTATTATCATCCTTAGAATTTCTCCACCTGATTAAAATTTCTTCAACTGATTAAAATATCATCCTCCAATATTTAATTAATAAACTATACTTGCTTATTCTGTCATGTGTGTTTTTAAGTAGCACCTTTGGCATTTCACAACCTTGCCTATTCTATATCTATTCCTAGCTCAAAGAGTCCATTTCCCCCTAAAAAGCATTACCAAATGACATAAACAACTATTTGACAGAGATTTTCTGCTACCTAAAGTATACCCCACCTACATTATCAGGCATATTATAATATGTAGTGTGATATTTAATCAATCCCCCAAGTATATTTTTGTAGTATTCTGACTTTCTACTTTTGCAGTAAGAGAAATAATTCAATTAAAAATTCCCACTAAAGAGCCTAACTAAAGGAAAAGGAAAGAAAAAAAAAAAGGAACAATGACCCACATGCTCTCCCCACCCCACCCCAGAAAACTACTGCAGTGCCCCTTGGGTTTACCTGTACGAGGAGCACACTTCCCGAGGCAGATAAGCAGGGAAGGCTGAAGAGAACACACCCCTCTACTGGCATGCCCTGTGCAACCCTGTATAAGGAGGGGCCACCACTCTGAGAAAACTTTAGCTCATAACTAGTTCCCATGCCCTATCTAGTTCCATATCATTTCCACGATAGATTCAGAATCTGGATGACTGATATGCTACACTTAAATTGTAAATGCAAGTAAAAGCACTTACTGCATTTAAATCTCATGGCCTGAATACAAACTTGTAAATAAATGTTGAAATAAATCTGGGATTTGCACACACTCTACAAAAACTATTTACTAAAGACAGGAATGCTGAGAAGAAAGTTGGAATGAGCCTATCACAGCCAGAATAAGCAGCTTTCTGTAGAACTGAGAAAATGAACAGTTTCTGAAAGGTTACTGATGTGTTTGCTTTTTTCACTGACAATGTCCTCTTTCCTCCTTCCTTTCCTTACTCTCATCACCCCTCAAAAACGATTCTGGAACTCCCTCCTCACTGCATTTCTTCTTAGACTGTTCTAAAAAACAAGGTAGAACTCCTCAAACGTCTTGTTCATTGCACTGCTGTAATTCTATTCTCTGTGTTTACGTTAATAAGTCAGCTTTAAAGAAAAGTGTCAGAAGAACATAAATATACAGTGTCTTCAATTAACTTATACATCCAAGTGCACAGAGTCATCATAAACAGGGCACATGCCAGAAATGTTTATTTAGATTTCCCTTCCCAGTCTTTAACCACTGACAATCCAAAAATATAAAACAGTACTTAACCAACCAAAACATCCTCCTTTCTTAGCCTAAAAGCACATACCTTATGGAATTTGGTGATGATGTCCATCTCTCTACGATCATCACCTTTCCCTGAAGATTCTGCCAATGCCTAAAGAAAAACAACGCTCCAGCTCATTAGTAAAGAGCAACAACGGAATAAACGGAATAGATATGTTATCAACGCCAATCTAAACATGGCTCTTCCTTACAAAAACTGTCCAATTGCTATATAAAAACCTGATGGAATTTCTAGATATACATTTTTAAAAACACCAATTTGCCATTTAAATTGTGAAAGCATGTTATCTTTATGAATCAAAAGACAGAAGAGGGTAAGGGGAGTGGCTGCTAATGCACATGAGATTTCTCTCCTCAGGGGAATGAAACTGTTCTAAAGTTAGGTTGCAATGATAACTGTACCACCCCATAAATTTACTAAAAACCACTGAATAGTCTGTACACTTTAAATTAATAACTTGTATGGGATGCAGACTCCTCAATAAAACTATTAAAGAAAAGGAAGGGAAAAAGAAAACCCAGAACTGGTTTCTCATACCAGTAATTCCAGTAAAATTTAGGGTCCATAGATAGGTCTTGGGGTTGGGGGATATAATTAAAAGGACACCCTCTTCAACTATGTCTGCCACGTGCAAGAACTAGGAATAAAAGGAAAAAGAAAACTGTTTCCATTTTATTAAGAGCTTTAAATTAAGCCACAGTGTTTGCTATTTGGATGACACAACATTGCTCTTTAATTGAGATTACACCTATCACTCCACATTGAACACACAGGCAAAAATTAGAAAGCAGAAGATTGCCCAGTGTTGAAAGGAATGAAGGGATGCAAGACACATCCTGCTGGTGCGGTAGAGACTGATACAGCCATTCTGAAGAGCAACTTAGCAGCACTTAGACAAGTTAAATCACATATACCCAGCAATCCCACTTCTGAGTCCGGGGGGTGATATACAAGATTATTCATCACAAAGCTGTTTGTGGTGATAGGAAGCTGGGAGTAATCTAGTTGTCCATCATTATGGTGTTGGAGACAGAGAACAAAAGTCAAAGGCAGTGAATACCACAGGGTATGAACTATTACTTAGCAGTTAAAAGCAAATATTTAGCTGTACCTAAGGCATCAAGGATGGGTATTAAAAACACAGCTCAAAGTATAAAAAGGAAAAGTAAAAAAACAGAATGAAGATTTTCACAGAATGCCATTTATACAAATGAAAAACATTCACACAAAACACAATTGGTTTTAGAACACCACCAACAAATAAAACAATAACATCAAATATATTAGAATGACTACTTTTGAAGGCAAGAAGCAGAGGAATGTGAGCAGGGAATGAGAAAAAAGGGAGTGAATAAATAAAAAACATATAATGAAAGAATAGCCTCTGTAATGTCCAGAAACAAAAGCATTCTCTGAACTGAGCAACCTGATGAACTCAACCATTTGCTCCAGGGAATGGGGGGGAGTGGGCATGTGTGTGTGCGGGGTGTGCGGGGCGCGTGTGGGGGGGGCAGGGGGCGTGGGGGGGCAGGGGGTGTGTGTGTGGGGGCAGGGGGCGTGTGTGTGGGGGGAGTGGGAGTGTGGGGGGGCAGGGGGCATGTGGGGTGGGGGGGCAGGGGGCGTGTGTGTGGGGGGCAGGGGGCGTGCGTGAGATGTGTACAGGGAGGGGAGGAGGTGATGAGGTACAGTGGGTATAGCAATTACCTCTAACTCTTCAATTGTGGTGTTTTTTAATGAAATTTCAAATCATTCTGTGTGTCTTCCTCTCCAGGTTCTTGATCATCCATAGTTCATTCGGGTATTGCTGATCGATCTTATCCAAAGCTGCTTTCAGATCATTCTTCAATCCCTAAGAAAGGTGAAAATTAAAGCTAATATGAAATTTCCCTGAGGTTTCACTTAATTTTTCACTAATAATAAGTACAGTGCATCTCAGACAACCAGTCAAGGTGGCAGAGCGGGTAAACACTGTTCTTGCCTTCTCCCATGACCACATCAAAATTACAATTAAATGATAGAACCACCATCACCGAGAACCACCTGAAGACTACTCTGAACTCCCAAAACATTCGGAAATGTCAACAGTATAAAACTAGTGTCTCATTTATATACTAAGCTACCACTATGTTTCTAACAGCAGCAAATTCCACATTCTACTCACATCCAGTTTGTGACCATTTAATAAAAATGAAAGCCTTAAAGCTGGACCCTTACTGTACACCATATACAAAAATTAACTCAAAATGGATCAAAGACCTAAATGTAAGAGCTAAGACTATAAAACTCTTAGAAGAAAACATAGGGGGACAGCTTCATGACATTGGATTTGTGAATGCTTTCTTATTTGCAACACCAAAGCACAAACAACAACAACAAAAATAGATAAGTGGGACCTCATCAAAATTCAAAAAAGGTTCATGCCTCAAAGACACTATCAACAGAATGAAAACATAACTCATTGAAAGGGAGAAAATATTTGCTCATCATATGTGGTAAAGATTGATATCCAGAATACGCAGGTAACTTCTATAAATTAACAACAAAAAAACAACCAAGGTGATTAAAAATGGGCAAAAGACTTGAAGATCTGCAAATGGTCAATAAGCAAAAGAAAAGATGCTCAACGTTACTAGTAGGTAGGGATATGCAAATCAAAACCGAAATATCACTCCCATTAGAATGGCTATTACCCAAAACAACAACAAAAAACACCCCAGAAGACAACAAGTTGTGGCTAGGATATGGAGAAATGGAGGAGCTGCTGTGGAAAACCGTTGGCAATACCTCAAAGTACTTAGACACATTATAATTAAACACCAAAACACATTATGATTAAAATGTCAAAAGTTAAAGACAAGGAGAGATTCTTAAGAGGAGGAATAGAAAGCCAACCAGTACAATCAATAAAACCCGTATAAGACCATCATCAGGTTTTTCAGCAGGAACTTTGCAGGCCAGAAGGCAGTGGCACAACATGTTGACAGTAGAGAAAGAAAAAACTTCTGAGCAAGAACACTATATCTGGCAAAGTTATAGTTCAGCACTGAAAGAGAGATCAAGAGTTTTCCAGACAAGCAAAAGCTAAAGGAGTCCATCACCATTAAACTGGATTTATAGGACTGTTAAAGGGACTTTTCTAATGTGAAAAGAAAATGTGCTAATTAGTAACAAGAAAACAGTACGAAAGAAATCTCACTGGTAAATAGAAGGGCAGTGAATTAATCGCATATGAAGGAAGTATGACGGTTAAGACAAATGTAGTAAAAACTAACTACACTAATTAATTAAGGGATATACAAGATAAAAAGATGTAAAATGTGACATCAAAAACAAAACGTGGGCTGGGTCAAGTAAAAATTTAGAGCTTTAGAATGTGTTCAAAATTAAGCTGTAATCAACTTGAGAGACTTGCAGTTATAAAATATGTAAATCACTAGTATGTAATGTACAACGTGGTGACTATAATTAATACTGTTTTGCATATTTGAAAAAATTTCTGAGAGTAACTTTTTTTAATCCTCACCTGAGGATATATGAATGTATTAATTTGGGAAGAGGGAAAAAGGGAGAGAGACAAGAGACAGAGAGACAGACATCAATGTGGGAGACGAACAGCAACTGGTTGCCTCCTGCAGGCACTCCTACCTACAGGGGACTGAACCGGCAACCTAGAGATATGTCCTGACCAGGGATCAAACCCACAACCTGCAACCTTTTAGTGTACGCTGTATGGGACAACGCCCCAACCAAATGTGCTACTCGGCCAGAGAAACTTTCTGTTTTGTGGGTGGTTCCTCTTGCTGTGCAGAAGCTTTTTAGTTTGACAGAGTCCCATTCATTTATTTTTGCTTTTACTTCCCTTGTCTTTGGGGTCAAATTCATAAAATCTTCTCTAAGACCAAGGTCCATGAGTTTAGTACCTATGTTTTCTTTTATGTAATTTATTGTTTCAGAACTTATATTTAGGTCTTTGATCCACTTTGAATTTAGTTTTGTACATGGGGAAAAACTGTAGTCTAGTTTCATTCTTTTGCACGTGGCTTTCCAATCTTCCCAGCACCATTTATTGAAGAAGTTTTCTCTTCTCCATTGTGTGTTTTTGGCTCCTTTGTCAAAAATTACTTGCCCATATACATGTGGTTTTATTTCTGGGCTATCAATTCTGTTCCATTGGTCTGTGTGTCTGTTTTTCTGCCAATACCATGCTCTTTTGATTATTGTTGCTATGTTGAAGTGAGGTAGTGTCATACCTCTGGCTTTGTTCTTCCTCAGGACTGCTTTGACTATACAGGGTCTTTTGTGGTAGCGTACAAATGTGATAATTGTTTTAGTTTTTTAAAAAATGACATTGGGACTTTGATGGGAATTGCATTAAGTCTGTATATTGCTTTGGGTAATATGGACATTTTTAACCATGTTGATTCTTCTAATCCATGAACATGGAGTATCTTTCCATTTCTTTGTCTTTTTCAATCTCTCTTAATAATGCTTTGTAGTTTTCATTATATAGGTATATATATAGGTCCTTCACATCCTTTGTTAAGTTTATTCCTATGTATTGTATTCTCTTGGATGCAATAGCAAAAGGAATTTTCTTTTTTCATTTCTTTTTCTGAAGTTTGTTAGTACTGGGTTGGCCATAAATTTCTTTTAGTTTTTTCCGTACGATGGCTGTACTAGTACTTAGTTGTCTTTAACTTCATGCACAACAATATTACTAGGTTGTATGGTGACAGCTCTCATATCAGTGTGCATTTTTTAAAAAACATCAAAACTGGTGAATTTTTGTGCAGCCATTTTAATATTGAAGATGGAAGAAGATAAGCAACATTTTTGGCATGTTATGTTTTATTATTTCAAGAAAGGTAAAAACACAACTGAAACGCAAAAAAAACATTTGTACAACGTATGGAAAAGGTGCTGTGACTGAGCGAACATGTCTAAAGTGGTTTGTGAAGTTTCTTGCTATTATTGATATTTTGGCCAAATAATTCTTTGGGGCTGTCTTATGCATTGGAAGATGTTTAGCAGCACCCCGGCCTCTACCCACTAGAAGCCAATAGCAGGTGATAGCTGACACTACTCTAAATATCCAAATTAGTAGTTATTGGTGAACATGAAAAATGTGTCTTTTAAGGAAAAAAATAAACAGACTTTTAGGCCAACCCAATATATAGGAAAGCAATGGATTTTTGTACATGATTTTGCATTCTGCAACTCTACTGTATTATTGTTTCTAACAGATTTTTGGTGGAGTCTTTAGGGCTTTACATATATAGAATCATGTTATCTGCAAAAAGTGACACTTTTACTTTTTCATTCCCCACTTGGATGCCTTTTTTTCCTCTTGATTGCTCTGGCTAGGACTTCCAGAACTAGCCAGAGTAAGAGTGGGCATCCTTGTCTCATTCCTGATTTGAGAGATATAGGTTTCAGGTTTTCACCATTGAGTATGTTGGCTGGGGGGCTGTCATATAATTGCTTTTATTATGTTGAGATACTTTCTTTCCATACCTATTTTATTGTTTTAATCAGAAATGGATGTTGTATCTTATCAAATGTTTTTCTGCATCTACTGATAGGATTATATGATTTTTATCCTTTGTTTTATCAATGTGGTATATTACACTGATTGAATCATGTGTACTGAACCATCCTTGTGCCCCTGGAATGAATCCCACTTGATCTTGGTGGATTATTTTTCTAATGCATTGTTGTATTCTATTTGCTAGTATTTTGTTTAGGATTTTTGCTTGTGTAATCATCAGAGATATTGGTCTGTAACTTTCTTTTTTTCTGTTATCCTTGCCAGGTTTTGGTTTTAGGGTTATGTTGGCCTCATAAAATGTTTTAGGAAGTATTGCCTCTTCTTCAATTTTCTGGAAGAGTTTGAGAAAGATAGGAATCAAATCTTCATTGAATGTTTGGTAGAATTACTAGTGAAGCTATCCAGACCCGGACTTTTATTTTGTGGGAGGCTTTTGATAACCATTTCAATTTCTTCACTATTTATTAGTCTATTTAGATTTTTCGAATTCTTCATGATTCAGTCTAGGAAAGTTATCTATGTCCAGGAACCTATTTATTTCTCCTAGGTTATTGAATTCGGTGGCATATAGTCTTTCATAGTATTCTAGTATGATCTTTTGTATATCTGTGATGTCTATGGTAACTTCTCTTTCATTACTGATTTTGTTTATATGAGTTTTTGCTCTTTTTTCCTTAGTGAGTCTAGCCAGGGATTTGTCAATTTTATTAATCGTTTCGAAGAACCAGCTCTTTATTGTATAGTCTTTGTTCTCTATTTCATTAAATTCTGCTGTAATTTCTATTATTTCTTATTTCTTCTTTCTTCTGCTGACTTTCAGATGCTTTTGTTCTTTTTCTAGTTCTTTGAGAGGTAATGTGAGGTTGTTTACTTGAGATTTCTCTTGTTTCTTGAGATAGGCCTATAATGATATAAACTTACCTCTTATTACTGCTTTTGATGAAACCCCAGAAGTTTTGCTATATTGTACTGTGCCTCTCATTTGTCTCTGTATTTCTTTTGACCTCACCTTTTATGTTTTGACTCAGTAATTTTTAACAGTATGTTGTTGAATCTTCACATATTAAATTCCGTTTTGCAGTTGATTTCTAATTTCAAAGCACTGTGGTCAGAGAAATGCTTGGTATGATTTCAGTCTTCTTAAATATAGTTCTTCTTAAATCTTCTTAAATATAGTTCTTTCTACAGTATATATAAAATTATAATCGCTGTTAAGTCTATAGTCCCTAATTTGGAGGTGTGTTATTATTTATAGCTCTTATTCCATCAATGACTATACTTAACTAAAGATGATGCCTCAT